TTTTGTCACATCAGCTTTTAGTCCGTCATCTTAAAGGATGAGAACGGCAGGTCTTGGTCTGGAACATAAACCAGTAATAACCCAGCTGCAGCGTTTTCTGATTTTCCTTTTAACTCTTGAGTTCCAGTTTCTCTTTATTAGTGTGAACGCTCCACAGCTACCAAACTGCTACAATGTGAATTTCTTCTTTGGTTGCGCCAACCTTTGTATTCATATTCATAACCACAGTGCCATTAGCACACCTTATATTATCGTCTCAGATATTTTTTGACCAACATTTTTTGTACTTTAAGGATTTTTTGTTCTTACAATCAGTTTTCTGTGTTGCCTGAATGTGGGGTGGGAGGCTTATGTTGGGCTTTGCTGACTAAATTGAATCAAAATGACAAATGGTGAATATACAACAATCAGTACAGTTCACTAACGGTACCAAAACAAAATTTAAATTTTTTCTCTCTGTGGGCTGCCATCTTATGGGTGGAGTGTTTTGAGTGTCCCACTGAAGCCAGGATCCAATTTGCCATGGAGTACCCCTGGCTGACCCCTGGCTGACCCCTGGTTGACCTCTGGTTGCTCCCCCATGGCAAACAGGCTTATAGGTGAGGAATCAGACTAAAAGCAGCAAAAAGAAACAAACAGACCAAGTGCTCCCTGGTGAGCAGATAAGGCAGAAGGCTCCTGATCTAGTTTTGACATGAAACTCAAAAAATACTTTATGTATTTGTACCGTTATTGAAGAGACGAGCATGACTTTTTGAAAAGTGACATTTTCATTCTGAGGGTGATGGCGAGCTACACTGGGTGAGATCCACATTGCATTGTTTATGTGGCAGCCATGTTGTCTTCCCTTATTGTGTCCAACTGAAGTGTTATCATCATAATGTGAAGAGATTTGTGGTTGATTCAGAACAAAGATGGGTTTAAGCAGATAAAGGCATAATGAGGAAGGTTTCTGTTAGACAAATTCATCGGATTAAGACAGCAGCTGTAAAAATGCCCTTAAAAAGCAGTAAAAAGTTATTTGAAGCTGCTGGTGCCTCTGGAACCTCAAGGTGGAGGAACCTCCAGAGGCTTGTTGTGCATGAACCTATTATTCAGCCACCCCTAACCAGGCTCACAAGCAGAAACTGTCGCAGTGGGCCCAGCCGTACATGAAGATTAATTTTCAAACAGACTTGTTCACTGATGACTGCTGCGCAACCCTGGATGGTCCAGATGGACACAGTAGTGGATTGGTGGTGGATGGCCACCACATCCCAACACGGCTGTGACGTCAGCAAGGAGGTGGTGGAGTCATGTTTTGGGCCGAAATCCAATTTTTGGGGAGAGAGCTGGTCGAGCCCTTCAGGGTCCCAGAAGGTGTGAAAATGACCTCAGCAAAGTATATGGACTTTCTAACTGATCACTTTCTTTCATGGTTCAAAAACAAGAGCTGTACCTTCATAAAGATGCATTGCCATTGCCATGCATCTCCATGCTGCAAGGAATACCACTGTGTCATTCCTTGCTGCAAGACACAGGAATGCTGCAAGGAATTCCTGTGTGCCCCTTTTATAGGCATAAAAGCGGAGAAACTCATGCTGTGGTCACCATCCACAGGTTGATTTATAACTTTTATTTTTACTCTTCCAGGATAAGTAACTTTAAGGGACCTGATG